ATAAGTGTTGTGGATAGATAGGATGTCGCACTAAACTAAACTAAAGATTTCTACCTCAAACGAGCAGAAATCACACGTAAGTAATATCAGAAGGGAAACCCCAATTCTCTGAAATTTATTTTCAGAGTATCTCGGCGATCAGACTTTCCGCTCAAACCAGATGTAGCTCTAAAATCAGAAAATCGAGTAGACCTGAATGGCTCAAAACCGCGCTGTGATATCTAATACACCCTCAATAACATTCAAATCACCCAAGCAAATCGCTTGAAGGCCTGAATGTCGCGATAATTGAACTTCAAGCTGTAGACTCTAGATATATCAATACAGTTGCTAGCAATTTCACTGTAATCGTGCATATCTAGCGAGAATTAAATTACCCATGCTCTTGCTGCTCGACATTGAATCGACATTTTCTGTAATTTACTTACTATGCGAAATGTACGGTAACGAAACGACCAATCATCTAGCTTTTGGCTTCGTTCACCCAGTCATCCCATCGAATCACAGCTGCTACACGTAACTCGTCTCAGCGTACACCAGTAGTTCTGGTCCAGCAAACAATACTACTGTGTTCACGGCGCATTCATCAAGAGACGCCAAACAAGAAGGCACTTCCTGATTGAGAAGCTCCACAATCGGCAGCATGGTGCAAGGAGTTGCTGTAGGTGGTGATCCCTGTGTGCACATTAGAGCCCTCTTCATGGGCACTTGGTGACCTAGAAACGAGGCGATACAGAAGAGAAATTAATCATACATGGCCCGGAAATATGACTCATTGCGATGCTTTTGCTACTCTCGGGATATGGGAGCGTCAACTTCTGTATGCTCGAGCTAAGAAGTCCGCACAATAGAGAAAAAAAATGTGCCGTTGCTTGGCAACTATAAATATGCCAACGTTGTATGCAGCAGCAATTTTTTTTTATATATCTGTCTCTCGGTATTTGCATGCCAGACCAGTTCACGAAAACCGCGTATGGTGGCCAGCGGCACAATCGGGCATGACTCCCACGGTCATTCCCGATCACCATGATACAGCTTGAAAGGCGACGAGAACAATTAAAGTCAAGAATAAACTTAACAAAATTTCACTGAAACTCCCTCGATCGACTTTCACCTAGTTCTCTGGAAATATAGCATTACAATCAGATAAGTTTGCAAAGTAACCCAGGAGAAGTTTTGTTGTTGTTGCTTCCGATACTTGACCAGATCCACGTTTGGAAAATCGACGTACCACAATGCTCCTCCTTCTACGAGGCGGTCACACCTTGCTACTGACACGAGCGAAAATACGGCCTACCATTTACAAAGCGTTAAAAGCGTTAGAGTGTGGCGTTGTAAACTTCAGAGCTTCTCCGCGCGCGCGGCCTTGTTATATTGGGTATGACTATCCTATGGCAATTCTATATAACAGTAACATCAACTTCTACAAGAATTATTTCAAAGTTTTCAGTTATCTGAGTAATTTTGAGCTCCTCAGTGTAAAATAATCAGAGCAAGAGGCCTATACATTTTAAAATCAAATTTGATAATCAAATGGTACTAACGAACCTGCAAGCTGCTTGGAGATATCTACATTTCGAGATGTTATGGTTCCCCCTGGTTTATCGACTCGGGTATAATTAAAAAGCTCGTGTTGCATTAAGCAATCGAATACGACTGATTTAATCGAACACAACTGATTATAGGAATTGTTCACCACAAAGGTGTAGCCAAAGGTATAAAGTTTAGTTTGGGTAGGTGCCTAAATGATTGGTCAACTTATACAAGACAACCTCAAACAAGATGACACTAAAGTGCCGTTTAGAATTGCCTATTCTAATAAGATAGCTGAGATTCTTGATCACTGAATACTCACATTGTACAATTATTGGTTAGCAAAATTGGTACAAAGTACTTTTAACGGTATATGCCGTGGTGGGATGAAAAGGCATTGGTCGCTTGAGCTACAATTTCAGAACATCCGACCGAAATCACAAATTGAAGCAGGATTTCCTGTTAAATAGTAGCATTGTCAAGTTTGCATCGCAATGCTGGCTCAAAACAGAGAAAATCGCGTTGAAAGTGGAACACAGGTATCCTCAATCAAAGAGCTTTAGAAACGTCAGATGTGCCTGTAAAACAACTGCAATCTCCATTTGTCAGTTTACTTTGTTCAAGAAACCTTAAACGGTCTTGGATCATCCTCAGCTTTTCCCCTGAATCGTTTAACACAATGCTTCCGTCTCCTAATTCTTATCGGCCATGGCTTTGAGGATAGCTAGGACTTCTTTCTCCTTTTCCGTAAGGTCGTCACCCTTCTTTGCAGCCTGAACCACTTCACTGGCCTTCTCTCTCGTAAAGCCCTTTAACGTTTCGGCGGCAATCGCTCTCTCGATGACATCGTCGAGAAACGCCCACTTAGTTCGCTCTTCATCAGCGGCTGTCAAATTGTCATCTTCTGGATCTACGACCCGAAGGAATCTCTTCTGGGAGTGACTACTGATCATAGCATCGGCCACAAAATCAGGAGAGGCCTTCGATAATAGCTGCGACTCATCGGGATTCGAAAACGCTGCGACGATACTGGAGTGAGCGAGTACCGCGATAGCAAAATGTAACGTAGAAAGAGCTGCGCATGATTGTAGCGAGGTGTTCTACTGGAAGGAGGGGTCTTATGGTCTTGAAAGCAAAATATGTTGTGATAGCCGACCGCACTTACATCTGTACCGGTGTGCCAACGGACCAACGATCCTGGATTGACGGCCGAGGATCATTGCTACGAACTGCAAGGGGATTAGTTTTCTGTGTAGATTACGCTACGATACTTCAAAGAATTAATGCTTTATGTCGGCACGTTAAAGTATCGTCTAATTACACATCGATCCCAATCGTTTTAATATTAAATGCTTAGATACATGTGTAGTAGATTACAGTACATTATCCACGTACCATAATCCGATTAGGGTACTTGGATACTGTACTATAATCTAGGTCACGGAAGCGTTATTGGCAAGAAACTTGAAAGCTCTCCTCAAACCGCCTTGGGGCTTGGGTTATAGAAGCAGATTTCGGAATATCAAGGTCTAAAGTAAAAATATTAGATATTTGTTGCTTAGCTCTTTTCCACTGTTTGAGCCCACGCGGATGGAAAAGTTTCTAGGACGTTTCCAACTGCGCGTTGTATTCGCACATTTTCTGGATAAGCAGCAGAATAAGCCCCAGCGAGATGATGATGTCTGTAACGAGCGCCGGGTACAGCCAGCGTTAGCCGAGCCGCCCGCGGTTCAAGCGGCTCTCGTGCTGCTGCACGCGCCAGATCTTCCATAGTAGCACGCCGGCGCTGCTCCACAGGCTTGTCATCTCTCAAACTGAGCAATGGCGCATGCCTAAGTCGTGCTGCTCACGAAAAAGCTTTGAAATTTCGAGGATGGCATGACTAGCACTGCAGCTGAGAAGCCGCCGTTCGACTAGCCGACGGCTGGAGCCCATTTAGCCGTAGCTTCAACCGCGTTGATCTCCGACACCGCCCTGGCCTGCCGCGTGTGCTTCGTGGACTCGCGTTTAGTGTGAACAGGAAGGAGAAGATCGGCAATGCCAGTTGTACGGATGCTGAGCTGCTTGAATATGGGTCTCATGCATCTCGTTCAGCCGGACGCGGGCTCCACCACGATTGACAGTGTGGATATCGCAAGATCGGGCTGCACGACTTGCGTATCAACATCGCTATAACCTCGTTCTGTTCTTGGGCTCGGTGCGTTCAATTTTGGTCCCGTTCGGCCAGTTCTTGGACAACCAGAATGTCTGTATTGCGTCGCTGAAGAAGGCCATCACCTCGCTATACGATTTCGTGGACCAGAAGGGCTCGAAGCATAGAGTATAGGAACAAGGTGCTTACTCTGAATGATATCCTGACGGATACGTTGGATGATGGAACTCGAGTCCGGCTAGCACATTTGAAGCATTCTCGCGCCAGTGGGCAGCCCTGGTCAATGATTAATCCTTTGCAGTAGGATTGTCCAAGCGTCGAGAGGATCTAAAAGTTGAATTTGATCCGAAAAATGAATCGTTTATATTCACAGAGTTGAGGCAACTCGGCAGGCAATAACACTGATGCAAAAGGAAGTTTCGAATAGAGAGTTGATAACTGTTTACTGCCTGTGTTTGTGATACATACGAGAGCATGTATAGAGCATGGAAAGTCACTGGTGGGCTTACAAAACTAAGTTTTAAAGTGTTGGACAAACAATTACGCTCACAGTGGGTACTCCACAGTCGAAGGCACCAACGTGACCATGAAATCGTGGATCGATAACTCACGTGGAGACCTCGTCACTGTTTTTCAGCAAGTTCACCCGTGGTGGCTTTGCGCTGTCTCTCGTAACTCGATAAGTGCTGCTAAGGATGCAGCTCAAATGCCAGCTGTGTTTCAAAAAGCTGATAGAATTTCTGCTCTGGTAAGAAAAATCAGTGTTTGGGCTTTGTCTGCAACCAACATTTCTTTGGAAATATGCTCACATAATTGTGGACCATGGACTCGACCGTGGCAACGTCTTCTGGTGAGTCCACGGTCGCCCCTGTCTTCACGACTCCTCATAACATTGGATCGGAAGACCAATTCAAATTACTGCCGGAACATTTTGACGAGAACTTGCTTTCCCTCTCCATAGACCAGTAGCAAGCCAGCAATCGATGAGTGTCGAGTCCGGGGAATCTCGACTCCCATCTCGCACACAAAATACAATCACGACTGCAAACTCTGGCGCCCAACGCCAAGCACTGAGAAGTGTGCAAGGTGTATCCGTGGTCGGGGGGGGGGGGGGGGGGGGCAGAATTGAAAGTTCTCATACCGTTCACACGACACGATGAATGGAGTTCTCGTACCCGGCGCCACTCCCACAATGCAAGCCATGGAATTAATATTACACGCCGAGATCCTTCATGTTTTGATCTAGCTGAGAAGTAGCCGTTTGAAAGAGACACACTAGCTTCCAGAATCAAATTCCAAGAGCTTCTCACTAGCACCGTAGTCTACAGTGTACGAGAACGTTGATGAACTGGACCAAATCACATTACCTCCACAAAACTGGGGTTATTCAATATTTGGTCTCTCGACGAGGAGGGAATGGCTTTACCCAACGCACAGGTCCCGATAATGTTTGTTCTACACGTAGTTACTTATCTGAGAAGGTGTTTAGAAAGTTCACAAGGTGTGTATCGCATGCTATTGCCAGCAACAGGAGAGCGTTCATTCTCTGGCTGTTTTGATGCTCCGTAGCATTTCCCGAGTGACAGCCTAAAACACTGTGCCAGAGGTTTTCACCACCGAGCCACTGGCCGCTTCCACTGAAGGGGTAGGAGGGTCGAAAACACTGATAAAATGGGCTTGTAGCACCGAAGTACGCCGACACATAAAAAGAATAGGATCCGTTTTCCAACAGCCAAAGCCGTTGTCGAAGAACCCGACGACGACTTCTCGTGATGTCTGAAATATGTGATTTTCGAATTCGCTACAGGAAACCTACAACGACTGCATAGTTTGGCGACAGTAACATGCATAGAGGACATGGCCAGCTCAAGTAGTTGCCCAAGCTCTGATGAAAGAATAAGTTCGTCGGAAGATAGTTCGAACGACTAGGAGGTACCAAATCCCACGCCTATTTTGACAAATGATACGGCTAATACATTGTAATGCAGTCACGTGAAAGCACGATCTCGACGGGGCAATCTTCCAGAATTCGACCTACCTGGCAGCTCATTTGATGTTCAAGTCAATCCACTGGAGGCACGCTAGAAGGATTTATGGCAAGCTTACCTAGTCGAGCTACAGTGAAAAATGACTGTTACCCGTGTACAATGCACCATACCGCTCTCGGTGACAACATGGTACTTCAGGAACGAGACACGATGTGCACAGTCCTGACCAAATGTACCTCTGCCCGTTGTGCCCTTGTTGGAACTTATAAATGTTGCTAGAAAATCAATACTTGCGAACTAAGCGATCTTTTGATCGTATATCAAGACGGACAACACTCAATGTTGGACACTGGCGAAAGTTCCCCGCGAGTGGCAAAACTGACAGCAGAGATGAAAGTCTTTGTACAGAATGAAATTACGATGTATTCTGGTGTGACTCCTCATGTCGTGTTTACCCGGTTGTGTTCCCAGTTGCGCGGGCCACCCCGCTTGAGACACAAGTACAAGGATACATGAAGCGTTGGCAAGCAAAACATCGAGATGACTCGATGCTACCGGTTGTTGAAATTTGTGCACGATCAACGTTCGAGTTATGCCGTCAACCGGCTCAAGCCAGACATGGATTACTCGTGTTTTGCGACTCTATTTACGAAAATGGTAACCTCGTTCCAAACATTGGAAATGCATCTGACGAATCACCTTTTCGAATGGGACTCACGTGCTATTCACTGCTGGAAGCGTATGCTACAGTGCAGGAAGATCCTCTCTGCAACACTATTCTTCACGTAGATAGCACACATAACTTGGTACGACAACGTTATAGCGTGTTTATCCTTGGATATTCGGACTGCTGCGGACATTTCTTCCCACTGGTGTATTACTGTGCATCGCAAAGGAGGGCTGAAGATGTTGCTTGGTGCCTATCGTATCTAAATCGCGTGATGCTCCAGGTTTGTGGAACTCGATTTTCTCCACAATACATGATGACTGACGCTGACAATAGTCAGCACTATGCATGCACCTGTGAGTTATCCACCACCAAGATTATTATGTGCTGGTTTCACGTTTGTCAGAACGTGTGGAGAAAATCCCGAAAACTACCCAAACAGCAGCGAAAATCGAATATTTAGTGATTTGAACGACCTTCGCTTCTGCAGATCAGAGAACGAGTTTGACCAGAAGAAAGCAAATATCGTGAATAATTGGAAGACTATTGGCGAGACCTCTGCTCGTTTTCGAGCTGTTGCTAAGAAGATTCGCCGCCAGTGGTTCGACAACTCTCGCTTCTCCAAATGGCAAGCATTCCACACACCTCCAGGTTACGCTACAACTAACAATCCCGTGGAGTTATACCACCGGAAGGTTAAATTGGTGAAAAGTACGGCTCGCGCTATTCCAATTGTAATGGTGCAACTCTTGGATCAATCGCGCATCGGTTTTATAGCGAGAAATGCAAAGTTCTCGAGTATTACGCAACCATCAAAGCGATTAAAATCACACTACAACAAAATCAAGAAACGAGGCGATCTAAGTGCAACTGTGCTTCTTCCCGATGGAGATCTACGAAGTCAATTCGTTTTAGTGAAGCAATCCATTCCCGAAACGAGTGTTGCTACTGCTATTGGGTCTACACGACTGACGGTGTTGCCAACTCACACGGTATCAACTTCAAGAAAGACAAAGTCGCCAAAGAAAAAGAAGAAACCTCAATTCGATGCCGAAGACGTTTATAAGCCTACTAAGTTTTCACATACGCTGCGCATGCAGTGGGAGGGAATGCCGGAGGACGGGTGGGTAGTCGATGCGACGACTAGGGCGTGTCAATGTTGCTTCCACAGCAACTACAATCTATGCCCTCATATTATCGAAGCAACAAAGATACTAGGGCTCCCTTGTCCTGGGTTTAAAACCCCAGCCGGCCGGTTTCAATCGCGTGACAAGCGTCAAAGAAGTTCGACTGTTCGCCCTTTTTCCGCAATCGCTTTAAGTCATCTACAAAGCGTCAGTTTCTCCGATACTCCTGTATCTGTAGGCTGTGCAAGCGTTCTGGACTTTGAAATTGCTCCTGCACAATGTGAAGATGTTCCTGTACAACGTATGCAAGCTGTAGAATCGCATTGTATACGACTCGAGCGTCCAAGATCAGCACCATGTCGCACTTTATCCAACGATGTTCCCGATTCAGACAATTTAGCCACGCGTTGTAGGACTTCACGTAGTCCGCCTTCTTTGACACTCCGCCAGTCATGTGAGCATACAAAGCGTCGTAGATACTAACCACAAGAAGTAGTATTGACGCCGCATTATATATCAAGACACTTGCATTCCTCGATGACAGGCTTTCAGTGTTTTAGATCTATCCTACAGTGTTTTAACCCGGCTCACACAGTGGAAGCCCAACCTAACCCTCAGTGGTTTAGCCTAGATTTACAGTGTTTTAGGCCAAACCGTACAGTGTTGAAGACTGCCCCTCAGCATTTCCCCTACCGATGGAGATGCTCTTAGGTGCATAAAATGAGCGCGTTTACTTAAAGAATATATATTGTAATCAAGCGTTTGCATCATTTAGACGGATGCGTTGGTATATGTTCGCAGCGGACACGTAATTATACTTGTGAGCATCTGTCTCAGTGCTAAAACCGTTTCTACAAATCGTCCAATACTTCGTCTGCTTTTCAACAAATCGTTCAAGAGTGGTCATATTGTTACAGATCATATGAAACGTTTGGCAGGACCCGGTATTCTCACCAGAAACCGGTATCATGGTAAAGTTGATTTGAGATTAATATGGAATGAAGCATGTCTTAAAGTACCTATTTTTCTGTTTTGTTTGTGAGTTGAAGAACTGCAAGATAGAAGGCTGGTTACTGTGTGGCTTCGCTGAAGTGCTTGTCTTCTTTTTCGTCTTCTTCTTGTTGCTACTGTTAGTGTCAATGGACATGACCTTGGCGTTTTGAGCTGACTCTGGTACGTTAGAATAATAGTGCAAGTGCTGAGGAGGAATTGAGAAGTACTTAGCTGACAGTAATTTCAGCTTGTTCGCTGATAGCTCCTTGACAGGATGGATGAAAGCGATGCTTCAAAAATTGTCGTGACCGTGGGGCCGAATAGATCCGCCAGAACAACTTTTCGAATAGCTTCAACATTTCCAGGAGCTACCATCAAAAACGAAAGAGTCTTCACCCGGTGTTTCTCCTGTACTTCGAGCAGAACAAACTCCACGATCAATCTCAAAAAGGTAGTTTGTGGTGTAGCCTCCAGGCGGTGGAATAAAGTACTTGCTCAACAACTCATTCCAGCCCATATCGAATGGTCGATCGGCATCAGTGTGGTTTAAAAACACACCCTGTACACTTTTCACCTTGTTCACCTCTTTAATCAAGTATTTTGGTGTATATAAGTTCAATCCTCGAGTTGCGCGTCGACACCACGCGATAAAGCGGTCAGCAATATTGTGGGAGTGTCCAGGTAGTGTAGCAAAGCACTACTTTCTTGGAGGATAATATTACCGAAAGAAATGCAAAAAAAATTATCGGCGATCGATTTGTTCTGCAATGTTCTTTAAATACAGCAATATCATCAGCACTCAGTGCATGCCATGGTCTTTGTAGCTCGCGAGGAGTGTGTAGCGTTTCAACTCCTACCTTCTGTACTTCCCACAGTCTTGCAATGTGGCTACCACCCACAGGTATAATAGCTCGGATTTCTCGCTCAGATAATTCTTGTTGAAGAAGCTGAATGACAATTCTGACTGTTCCCACTCGCTTCCACCTTGCCCTGTATTCATTTGATCCCAGTCGTGTCGAATCCTCTCAGCGGTGTCTTCTCCTAGCTTTCCACATACTCGTATATACGCGGTCTCTTTCTTGTCGACTCGTTTTGCACGCTTTCGAGGCGGGACGGTTGAACGGGAGCTGCCAGACGCCCGAGACGACATTTTCAGCAGCCACACCGGTCGAAACTGAAGAAAGGGTTTAGTCTGGTGGGAAAAAATCAAGCCTGATTGGAAGCAACACACTACGGTGTTTTGCAAATCCTAGGACAGAAAAGGAAGCTGGCAATAACTTTAACATTCCATTTGTGTTGGATAGCGTCTCTGAATATCTCTTAAGGTCGTGAGGCATTGGTGTATTTGGCGTCGGATTGCGACACGGTAATGAGGTGGTTTGCGAATTCCTGTCAGAAGGCGCAGATGAAAGGTTTGATGAAGTTTGCCATCGTTGATGCCGCAACGAAGACGAAAGTATGGATAACCATTGAGGCTCTGTTTGTAGAAGGAGCAACCAACCTGTTGTCGCAGCGTGCCATCTATAAGGAATAAGGCTTTTTTTGCGCAGACAAGTGAGGACCAGGAAGTGACTATATTGTCAAACCGGGTGATACTCATTACCTGGAGTTTGATATGGTCGGTGGCCTCTATCAGACAATGATGGAGATACCACGTTCTCAGTTAGATGTGTTGCAGATAAAGGTTCAAACGGCAAGATCGCTGGAATATTGGCATCACCATCTGGAGCATATAAATTGGCAAGTGATCCGAGAGTTGGCTTCAAAGGAGTTGGCTCGAGGCTTGAGGCTATCAAAGGACGATCAGAGCAAGAAAAGACAGTGTTACAACTGTGATATGGTGAAGGTGAAAAGGATGACTTTTCGCCACATAACGACAAGTAGAGTGGCAAATCCATTTGACAAGGAACTGATGGACTTGCTTTTCATTCAGGAGGCCTCCATGAAGGGATATACTATGTACTTGCATCTCTTTTACCGTATTTCTAATGGGCAACTTGTCTCGGCAAAATGTTGGGAACAAGACACTCTTGCTGAGAGTAGCTGTGAGGTCGAGCTGATTGCAGCGAATACTGGGATGCATGAAGCAGTTTGGCTGGAGCAATTTGCGGATGAGTTAGGCTTGGAGAAAGAGACTACAACACTATATTGTGACTCAAATAGTGCCCATGGGCTAATGAAACATGCTGAAAAGCTTCGCAGAACCAAGCTGGTCAATATCAGTGACCTCAAGATTCGCGAGTACGTGAAAGCGGGGAGTAAAGCTAGAGCCCGTTAAAAGCGAATGTGGTCAATATAATGACGAAACCGCTTCCACAGTAGGCATTTCAAGGTCACAGAGAGACGGAGTCCGCACCGCAAGAGTGAACGCTAACGCAGGCCACGCTGGCACTGAACTACTGAAAAGTGAGGAGAACAGCGAATGTGATAAGGGCAACCCCAAAGCGACGAACTCATCGCAGAGAGTGTCAATGAAAAACAGAAGTGACGTCGAGGAATCCCAGTTTGATTTATGAAGAGAGCTCGAGCTAAATGCAGACCGTAGCGGTTATGAACGTCACATAAGTATCATGGGGATTTGGCAGCGAGGGTTTATCAACTGGAAGAATTGAGACCAAATCCGCCCATGTGTGTTGAAGCGCGCACGTGATTTGATAAGAATTGATAGTGTAAGCGGCATGATAAGTATGATAACCAAAGGTGTTGATCGGTATATGCATGTATGCTGATATGCAAACAAAGAGAAGTGACGACACCAATTTGATGCCGAGAAGAGAGTAACAGAGGCTGGTCAACCTCTACGAGTAATTGTGAGACAGGGATTCGATACTAAACACGGAAACTTCTGGTTCTCAAGTAAAAGACAGAGAAATGTCTTTAAGTGGCAGCTAGGTGTAGATCGATCAGCATAGACCGCGAGTATCATCATGGATGGGTTTCTACGGTAGGGCAGTGGCCAAGCCTCCCACTTCCCGTGCATGAATGTGAAGGGTATAGGCTATAGTGGCAAGCTTCAGTGCACTGCATCATCCTCCACCGCAACACCTCCAACATCATGATGCTAGGCGGTGACTTCACCAACTTCAACGGCATGGGTCGGCAGGAGCCCTTATGGCCAACAGTTGACGGGTGAGAAAATTCAAATCTCACGTCTGCGCTGTGTTTATTTACCATCGTAGGATATATACTTGGTCTTTGACGACTTTGGTCACGCCATAGTTAGAGCGTTTGGTCACGTGACCAAGCCCGTTGGTCACGTAATATCACGCGTGCAAATATGCATTGGTCACGCCAAATTAAGAAGCTGTTACATTACTCGTTGTCAACCTCCTGAAACCAACGAAGATCGCATCCGAAGAGGCGCTAATACTTGTGGCGTCTGAGATCATTGTGAGAATCACCACTGTCCTGAAATCACTCCTATCTATGAGTCGCTTGCCGTCATCGCCTCGGGTGCGAAGCGCTCGATACTCGCCAACGTCTCGTCCGCGTACTCGCTCGACCAGTCCTCGTCATGCTCTTGGCGAGAATGGAGAATTAGAGTTAAACTTAGACGACGCTTCTCAAGACACCCAGCTATCCACGCCGCAGTCCACGACGTCTGAGCCTCCAACATGTACATCTACTACCCTCGCACAGTCAGCACACCACGATCCGTGTAGCAAGGAGCTGAGTGGGGGTAAGTCCACACCTGCAGTTCCTTCTGCTCGACTTCCGGGCCTACCGCGCCGTGAAACTTCGCAAGCACGTACGCATCCAACGGCACGGGACGGCAGCACCAAAATTTATCATCTAGGATTTGAGTACACGCGAGCCAAGGTTTCGTCAGTGAAAATATCATATCGGTGCAGTTTTTACAGGAAACCTAAGCTATGTCCACCTACGCTGTTCTTCTACGCCGATTCAATGACGTACGACTTGGAAAACGCGGTACCTCGTACGTGTAGAAACAGAGTAGCCGAAATGGCAAGTGATGAATCCATCTGTGGTGACGTTGAAGAAGAAATGAAAGCCTTCGTCGCTGCATTAGCAGAGCAAGATCTTCCAGCTAACAATATTTGGATGATGGCATACAATAAATTCTATGAAAATTCGACGCAAGTTGTTCGTGGAATCTAAAAAGCAAGTTGTGTCACGAGTTGGAAACTCCAAGTCTGGAAGCAACATCTTCTCATTTCTTGAGAGTCCCGAGAGAGCCAAAGTGTCTGGCAGTGACCTTGGTTTTTTTTTCAGTTTCACTACATTTGGCACGACGACGTAAGAGTCAAGCAAAAGAAGTATGGTATTGAGTGATTAATTGGCTGGTCACACCCCGAACTCCGCAACTTACTTCGAATTGATGGTGCCCATTTGTTTGTAGACGGCACTTTTCGATGCAGCCCGAAGAATTTTCACCAGTTTGTGACGCTAATGATGTACGACCAGTACACGGAGCTGCTCGTTCCGGTTTTTTTACGCTGGCGTCAAACAAAACGGAAAATTTGTACACAAAAATGTTCAAGTGTATTGCATTTGCGCTGGGTAAAGAGCCCAACCCGGGAGACGTTGTTTGCGACTTTGAAGGCGCCCTAATCCTTGCAATCAGAAGTCAGTTTCCTTCTACACGCATTGTCGGGTGCTTGTTCCACTTCAAGCAAGCGTGTAGAAGGAAACTAAAGGAGTACCGCATGCCGAACGAAGAAGCAGAGATTGCCATGTCATTCGGGGTTTTCGACATGCTCACAGTCATTGATCCTGAGAAAATTGCTGTTCAGGGCATTGCATGGGTGAAACGTAAAATAAAGGAGCGCTGCCAATCGAAAAGCCTACCGTACTCTCGGGAGAAGTGGAAGTCGTTTTGGAAATACTTTGCTAAAACCTGATTTTCAACGTACACGCCAGAGCTCTGGAATATCTATCGCGTCACAAGAAAGATCGTCAATCGTACGAACAACCCATTAGAGCGTTTTCATCGCGAGTTGAACGCCAGGATGAAGCCCCACCGTTCTCTGAATCCTTTCGTTCGTGTGATCGAGGAGTTAGCAGGGAAGTACGTCGTACTTCGTAAAAGTATCATTTCAGTAGAGGCTACAGCCCCGGTCAGACCTCCAATGCGCTTTCCTAAAGCTGCGAAGTTGCCTGACGTCAGTGAATGTGACGATTCGTCTAGCGACGAAGTTGACGACGAAATGGGTAGTGATGTCAACGACGCAGATTCGGAACTATCTGATAAAGATCTTGGAATTGTGTATGACACTGCATTTGACTTTGAAGGCGATGAAGAAAAAGAAACAGATAGTTTGTAGAAGCCAAATAAGTTTTTAACCGTCTTTGCAATAAGTCTCCAAGTGCCCACGTGATCAAGCATAATTAGACCACGTGACCTAATCAATTATTTTCGCTGAGGCCAAACAAGATAGAGATCAATGATAGTGATTACCATTTACCATACCCCACAATTATGCATGAAATTTATGCCACGTACTCAGGCTGTGCTTTTATTTGTCTCCTTTGAGATGCCAGGTGCCTATCGGAAGATGGCGCCAACGGAGTCTCTGGCTGAAGCCTTTGCGATGACAAGGGAAAGAGGCGTTCACTTTTTTTAATGTACACACACATCAGTGGCAAACCGACGTTGGAGCCAACCAAAAATATATACGCTTTTGATCACTCTCTTCGGTTAGTGTCCTGGAGACCGTATGTGTCGTCGAAGAGTTCTGATTCACAGGACATGCTCATTTATCTTGGGTGTGGAGATTCAATTACGTTCACATTTGCTCTTATGGAAAACGATCAAGACGGCAGCCGTCCTCGTGATTCCATGTACGTATACGCCAACTCAACAGTTCCAGAATTTTGTGTCGTAGCTCTCGGGATTTGCTTTGTTTTTGGATTCGACAGTGATAGCAAGTTATTTCCTGGAAGCAATCAGTACAGTCGGCTTCCAAAAATGCGAAAGACTTGCTGGAAGGTGATATCATGAGTAGTTTTTTTTGGCCAAGTTTGGCCTGACAGCAGCTGACTTTCGTGATCACTTAGCGAGAAACGCTCCGCAGCATACGTGAGCAGCTGCTCCACATCCAGTCCTTCTCCTGCTGCAATCGGCTTACGAGCAGGATGGACACTTGCGGGAGTCCAGAATAAATGCGTTCGATTGAGACCGATTCTAATTGAAGGGATGCGAATGAGGCTTGAGGTCGATGTGAGCTGAAAGAAGTAAATCCAAAAGTGATTGAAATTGAGTTAGGCTAAACCGGTCTTACAGAAGTCTCTATCTGTGTCCTAAAAACAATCCCACAAAGTATGAGCATCTAGCTCCTTTAAGTTCTAACGGGGCTGCGACAGATATACAGTGCAGAGAGGTAACTTCAACTTACCACTCTCAGCCAATCAGGAATGTAGATCTTGGGAGTCGTCCAATCATATCACGAGAATACACCGTATGTACGGAGAGCCACGCGCCTTCAACAACACCACAGCAGGCACGTGCTTCGCGGTAGGAATCCACGACAGATAGGATGCGAAGTGTAGAATCACAACAATTCTGGGCTTCTTATGCGGGGCTCATACGTTTTTCTGGGGAATAAACCGCAACCAGTCGGCACCACTTTGGACCATATGCCACCACTTTTGACCACTTTTTGTGTCGTTCATATCCCCAGAATCTCCTTTAAACAGCACATAATCGTACTTACTGCTAACGTCCTGCACACAGCACACAGGCACTCAAGAATCACGACTCCATGAAGCAGCGACCACGTCGACGCCGTCTTCAAGGCAACGGCAAGCACTTACCAGACGCAGGAGACCGAGTAACACACGAGTACTAACACTGTTCTTACTCGCTTACAAGAAACTGGTCTAAGCTGACGTTTTGTGCTCTGTTGTTGTTGCCGCTCGAATTCTTAGGTTGAGTGCAGTGCGGATTGATAGTGAGGTCGCCACATCTCTTCTTGCGCTGGCGGCAGATACTACAAGACGTCTCCCTGCTACGTTTCTGCAGTGTGATGCTTGGTGAGGATGTCTTAGCCACCTTCAGAGAAGTCTTCTTTCCCTTTAGTCGGCACCGAAGTGCGTTGATGGACAGTGGTAGATCAGGATAATACGACGTGTATACGGCATGAATGTGCTCCCATTTTCCGTTCGCGTTCTAATGCGCGCAGCTTGCGCATGTGTTCTGGAGAAATTGTTTTACGGAAAATCGTCACGGAAACTTCGGGTGTGTTATGACTGGCATTTGCTGAACAAGTTTGAGCTTCGTGCGTTTCCGGTGGGGTTTTCTCGGTGGATACTGGTACTTGGAGGATATTGGCAGCCAACGGCCGTAGTAAACTCGGCTCAGTGACCAGGTTCGCAGACGGTATTGATTCTGATGCACCCGTCGGGCCCAGGGGGGTAATGTGAGGAGCTTGGGTTATAATTCCCGCTGAATGTGCATTTGTAGCGTTGAAGTAGTTCATGCCGACGGTGGAGCTGCTGATACTGGCTGAACAACTGCGGAAATGGGATATTTGTCCACCATTCTCGGAGTCGCTTCGTGAAGAGCTGATGATCGCTTTCATTTCCGGCGACAATTTAAATTTTAGCTTCAACTTCGCGTTGTTCGCTTGCTGCTTCATATTATTCCATTTTGCGAGCAACGCTGCTCCGGGCTTTGGGTGGATGCCAGTACAGACGCAACTCGCGAAGTCATACACCATCACAAATACTTGGCGTCTTTTTCGAACTCCGTCTAACCGTCGAAGTGCAGAGAACAACTGGGCGAGAAGTTCCTGCTCGCGCGGCGTAATTTCAGAACATGGGCCCGCACTCACAAAACGGAAAAGCCTCTGTGACGTGGATTCTTTCGTCCCTGGAGTAGGCTTAATGGTCAAGCTGTTAATCTTCGGAGCCAGTGTAGCAAAGCTCCAACGTCTCAGTTTGAGGCGTTGATTCGAGTTTGAGGAGACTACGATGTTGTACATCAGTGTGGTAACCAGCGGGCATTCAGACCAATTTCGCCGTGCTAGTTTCTGCTCCGTCTGCACCTGGCGAAGAAGTGCACGCTCCTGAGACGAAAACCCAGCGGCTGCTTCATAGTCCATCTCCGCCAGACATAGTGAGTTGAAGAAATCCGCTTTGGACAATTTACCGGTTTCAGTGAAGGCAATTTGCTTCAGGAGGAGCTCCTTTATGCTGTCGTTGTGCTGCCGGGTGTGATGAAGATTTGCCTCCAGAGCCTGAGTGTCAACTCGAGCCGTCTCAAAAATTTGGCGCCATCTCTCGAATCCGTAATCAAGCACTGTAGATGCTCGGTAGGCTGGTTGACGGAGCGGTTTTGAGAGCAGCTGATTGACAAATTCAAGCTGCGGCGACTCGGCAATAATGCCACGGCACAAGGTTGCAGTCTG